ATTCTCAACCACTGAGTCACACATCCTAACGACATTTTATATGTGTTTTTTTTTTAGTTAAGCCTCACCTGAGGGTATTTTTTTTCTATGACTTTTCAAAGAGAGTGGAAGGGAGGGAAGGAGGGAGGGAGAAACATCTAGGTGAGAGAGACACATTGATTGGTTGCCTCCCACACATGCCTCAAAGGGGTGGGGGGGAAGCAAACCCCCTCTGGTGGCCAGCCTATGCTCTAACCACTGAGCAACACCAGCCAGTTGCTATATTTTCTCTGCACTGTCTTCACAAGAGATTTGAACCTTCACATTTAAAAAAAAAAAAAATCAAAAATGTTGCTGAAATGTGCTTTGAATGGCAAATTACAATCTTTAATCTCTCCTCCCAAACTCCTCTTTGACCTTTAGTTAAAAGCTCACATGTTCCCTTCAGTGAGTCAACTGCATTGCGAGTGGGTGGCGGACTGTTTCATACCTTATTTCCCGCCCCGCCCACTCGCAGCACGTCGTCGGGGTTCATGGCGGTGACGCAGTCGGTGACCAGCTTGTTGCTGTGGGACCGGGTGGTGGTGATGATGTGCTTCCCAGCAGGCACTTCTTTCAGCTGGAACCCGAAGGCACCCAAACCTAGAACTCCCCAGATTGTCCTTCCCAGCGCGGCACCCGGCCCTGCCTGTGGAAACGGGAAACACCAGCACAGCCTATGATGAGTGGGAGAACATGTCAGCTCAGAACAAATAGAACACTGAGCTGTCACAGCATCCTAACTGTTAGATCATAAAAACATGATGACGCTATAGAGTACAAAGACAGTAACATCGACAGAGACAGTTTCCCTAGGGAATCAGTGGGCCGTTCTCACTGCTGTTTTGGTTGATAATTGGGTTTCAAAGGCACTGAAGGGAACTTCTGGCTATTCCCTGGAGTCCTCGGGAGAGGAGATAGGCTAATTCGTGCTGCTCTCTGAATCATTGAATAAGCTCATTATCGTATTTGAAATAGCTCTTTGCAAAGGGCACTGAAGTCCCCGGGGAAATGAAACGCCATGTACTGATTAGTACTTTTCCATACCCGAGAAGCAGGCAGGATCCTATCGACCTAGGCCTAGGCGGTGGTGATAATGCATTTTGCTGCTATAGAGACAGAATATCTGAACAGGCTGTTACCAAAGAGCAGCCTGGATAAAGGAGGTCAAGGTCACAGACTTCACTGGCAATGGCGGTAGTAAAATGACAATGCCGACGCAGCCTGTATTTGCCTTTGCAGAGCTCGAAGCATTTTCCACCACATTGTTTATGACTATGCACTTCATGTAGAAAAACATAACCGGTATTGCATGCCAAGTAAAATTGATGCATAAAATGATTAATGCAAAGTCATCAAAAAGACCATTACTTAACACTAGAGGCCCGATGCACGAAATTCAAGCAAGTTTGTCCGGAAGGTCATTTGGCTGTCCGGTCTAATTAGCATATTAATGCTTTTATTATTATGGATAATAGACATTCTAGTATACGGTAGGCATACAGACATAAGTATGTTACTGAATACTTGACACGTACTAAGTGCTTTACATGTAGTATCGCATTTAATCTCCCAAACAACCCCATGAAGTAGGTGTTATCATCCTTACTTTACAGACGAGAAAAAAAGAGACTGGAACCATGAAATAACCTGACCAAGGACTCTAGGAAGAACATCACCAAAGGCTGATGGGTTCTTCTGGGTTCAAAGCCGACAGTCCTCAGCATTAGGCTGGGCTGCCTCAGTTTACTTGCGAAACGCTTTCAAACAAGCACCTGTGTGTCCTGCAGCAGGACCCCGAGGTGGTGGGATGGTGGTGGAGGAGTGCCCATGGGGCCAGCACCCATGGGAGGGAGGGAAGGCAGCACGAGTGGACAGAGGGGGAAGCTGAGCTGTGACACAGACCCGACAGCCTCCACCGGCCCTATGGGAGCTCTGGAGCTAGGCTGGCCCTTCAGGGTGGTACCAACTGGGGTGCAACGCCAGACCTTTGTCCTGCACTCATCAGTCCCCGGAAGTGGACCGCCTTGGGAAGGAGCGGGCCACTGGGCGAGGCAGCTCTTTGCAGGTGAGTGATCCCCGAGGACGCCGACAGTGTCATGGCCTGCAATCCCTGGAGGCTGCCTGCCGGTATCATGCCCTGCAAATGGGGCACCAGAGGCACCGCAGGGCCAGCACTGGGGACTCTCTGCCCCTGGAGCCTGCACTACCGAGAGGCTGGGGCCTGACACACCGATGGGCTCAATGGTGGCTCTGAGGGCTCAGTGGGCCTCAGATTGGCTGCTGAGAGGACTTATCAAGAAGCTGACTTACTTAGCTTTCGTTATTCTGAAGCAGAAAGGAAAGCAATACAAATAGTGGACACGAGCCTGGCCAGTGTGGGTCAGTGGTTGAGGTCACGGTTCGCTTCTTGGCCAGGGCACATGTCCGGATTGCGGGCTCGATCCCCAGTAGGGGGTGTGCAGGAGACAGCCAATCAATGATTCCCTCCCATCAATGATGTTTCTCTCTCTCTCTCCCTCTTCCTTCTTCTCTGAAATCAATAGAAATATATTTAAAACACAAATAATGGGCACGAGTATTCTGGGCCTGAAAATGAATATTCTGGGCCACATAAATGAATATGGAGGCAAAGAGTACAGGACCATGGAATCCGGCATCTGGTGGGCAGGGCCATGCAGGCCCATGAGGCGGCCAGCCAGCTTCCTCTGTGCTCCTGATCGCCATCTCCTCACTGTCTCTCTCCCTCAAAGGCTCCCCACCAACTTTCTGGGGGCAATGAGGCTACTCGTTTCACCTTACCGATGAGTTAAATTAAATCCCAGAATGGCTAAGAAGCTAGCGCCCATATAAGGATACACTGGGTTTCTTTGCACTAAGCCGAGTGTTTCCTTCAACTGCCTACCAGCTTCAGTATCTGTTAGAAGCAATAACGGAGTTTTAACTGTTAAAGGTCTTTCATCCGGCTCAAAAGAGCAATGTAGAGGAATTGGTAAGAGGTTGGACTGGGGTTTGAATCCCAGACGTGCCATCGACACACTGGGTGACCCAGGGAAGTTACTTGCTTTGGTTTCTCTCTCTTTAAAACAGGGACAAGGGCCCTAGCTAGTTTGGCTCAGTGGAAAGAGCATCAGCCCAAGGACTGAAGGGTTCCGGGTTCGATTCCAGTCAAGGGCATATGCCCAGGGTGTGAGCTCAATCCCTAGTAGGGGGTGTGTAGGAGGCAGTTGGTTGGTGGTTCTATCTCTCTCTCCCTCTCCCTTCCTCTCTGAAAGCAATAAAAATATTTAAAAAATAAAACAGGGACAAGGTGAAAGGGTGATGGTGAGCATTAGAGATAATGCATGTGAACCCCTTGAGGCCGGTAGGATATAACAAATTCTTGATGCATTTGAGCGATTATGGTGATGACGATGACTGGAAGTTGAATATTCAGCCTTGAGCACCACCAACAGAGCTGAGCAACCTTCTCCTTGTTGCAACATATTTCAAGGCACAAGCAAGAGGGAAGGAAGAAAGGATAACCAGAGTATACAGAGGGAATGTGGTGAAGGGACAGGCGACAAAGGGGAGAAACAGGACAGGAGGAGATGAGCGGCTGCGTGGGCTCGATGAGGACTGGCCAGCAACACAGGTTTCCTACCTCTTTGCTGCCAACTAGTGGAGCCAGAACCCTAGCTATTCTTCTCACCTTTGCTTCCTTCCTGCGTTCCCTCAACTTCTGCTTTTCATTGTTCTGTGGAAAATGAATACAAGTTTTCTAATCTCAGAAGGGATGGATGTTATTCACAACTTCTAAGCACTCAGATCCTTTTTGGATGAAAGGTGCCATGCATTACAATGTTATCTAGGAAAAAAATGTCTCCCTTTTAAGGCCACAAACTTTTATCTGTATAAAATATTACATAGCCCTGACTGGTTTGGCTCAGTGGATAGAGCATTGGCCTGCGGACTCAGGGGTCCTGGGTTCGATTCCAGTCAAGGGCATGTATCTCGGTTGCGGGCACATCCCTAGTGGGGAGATGTGCAGGAGGCAGCTGACCCATGTTTCTCTCTCATCGATGTTTCTAACTCTCTATCCCTCTCCCTTCCTCTCTGTAAAAAAATCAATAAAATATATATTTAAAAAAATAATAAAAAAATAAAATAAAATATTACATAAACATTAAAGTCACAGTAAAATACTTAGTGGATACTTAATATGAGAAACTTTACCAATAATGCGTAACTAGTTTTGCGAAATAATCCTAAGAAGAACATGATTATAAATAGTTATTATCATACAAATGGTAGAATATAACAAAACTATCTTAGAGGTAGAGGTTACGCTTGCTCTTAACTCAAATTGGAAATTCAGAAGGAATAGTCCTCACTCTGGTTACTTGGTTTCTCCAACGTTCTATCAAGGTCTGACTCATGTCAATACTTGAAGCAATAATCTCAATCGTTTCCTTTAACTTTAATGTGATCTAATGATCTATTCCTGCTTTGGATTCACATTAATCTCCTGCTTCTAAGGAAGACAATTTCTTGGGAGCAGAGTAGAAAGCCCAATGCTATTAGAGAGACAGTAAGAGAAAGGGTGCAGGAGCGTGCTCGGTTCTGCTTCAACGCTGACTCTAGTTCAGGCGCGAGGCAGTGTTACCTGGGAAACAACATGGCTAGCATCTTTCTCGGTTCGAATGGCTCCCTTCTTCAATGTGCTTGAAGGGCCACCCGTAAACCAGGCGTCTCAATGACCAGGCTAATCCAGAACCACATCAGTAATCCCCAAACATCTGCATTTGAACGTTAAGGCCTGTGCTGCGTGTATGACATATGCATCCCTGGCACCAATGCCCCCCGAAGCTCTGACTCCACAGGTCTGGGGTGTATTTTGAAAAGATAAATGCACGTGCAACTGAGCTAGACACCACCAGGCTAGATAATATCAGGGACCATATATCACTGTAATTATTAATCTAATAAAATATTTGTGTGTGGCTTCCCCGCCACCTCCCTGGCGGTGGGGGCCGCCATGTGTGGGCAACATCGACCTGCTGGCCGCCTCAGCCCAGCTCCCATGTCTGCGTGAGAGAGCAGGAGAGCACAGCCAGGTGCACGGCGAGGCGTCCATCTGCACTGGTCACTGGCCGGAGTCCTCCGTTCCCTGACCCCTGCCTCCCACCCCCCCATAGCCTGCTCGAGTGGCCCTGTTTTCTGGCATCTGGCTTCCCACAGAAGTGACTCAAGTGGGAAAGAAACGTGAGCAGGTGCCATTGAGGCTTGGAGATGCTGAAACGTGGCTTGTCTGCAGCAACATTGGGAATCAGGAGACTGAATCTAAAGATAATACGGAGGGAAACCCAGAAGATTCCAAGAAGTCTAGGGGTGACTCCTCAGACACCACACGCCACGGCCATGCGGAAGACTTAGCACAGGAGTCCTGTGAAAACTGCCCTCCAGACCAAATCATTAACTCCCTTTACCTGATTCTAGACTTGTTTGGTTCCTCTCCCTTTGCACAAAAAGACCCCTTTTCAACTCCTTCAAAACCTTCATCTGCCTGGGGAAGCGGGTCGGGCTTTCCCCCCGTCTCATCTGGCTGCCTCTTGAAATAAACTGTCCTTGTTACATTAAAAAAAAAAAACTGTATCTGTTACAGTCCTACCTGGTAGTTGTAATACGGCTGGTTAATAACTCCTGCTATGGCTTTCCCTTCATAAGCAATTCCAATCAGGACGGTTACATTGTCAAGAAGACCTAGAGAGAAGAAATGAGTATCGATTATGATGTAACTTTTTCATGTCATGACTCGTCATCGGCACGTCAATTGCTGCGGGTTATTTTTGCAGTAAAGGTATGGAATCTACTGTGATTCATCCATGATCAATCCAACTTCTGGCAAAATGCACACATTATAAGAGAGCTGGCCAGAGAGAGAAGAGGGGTGTAGGGCCACGTCACTGGATTGCCACGTCTGGTCTCATTAGTACACTCTGAAAACCAATTAAATTGACCGGCCATAATTCCACAGCCATTATCACTGGATCCCTGTGCCCCCTCTGCCACCATCCAGCTCACTCCTGCCTGCTGGAGTCACTTTTATAATACAGGTTTTCAAGCCCTCTCCCAGAACCAGTGAATCAAAATCTCCAGAGGTGGGGGAGGTGGGGATGTAGGCCAGCTGTGTAGGTGCTGTGTGTACCCTAAAGCTGTCCAGAGCCTCCTTGTTCCACAGTGGAGATGTCTTCAGTGCACACACATACATACACATGCACACACATGCACACGTGCTCACTCACGCACGCACACACTCTGCAGGACTCGCTCTTTGCAGCTACATCTCCTCCAAGGACAGAGAAAGAGTTTTCTCTAGTAATAATGAGAAATTTTCTTTTTTTCAAGCCATGCAGCGGAGAACCAACGTAAGAAAAACTAGGGAGCGCTTTAGTTCAGAAGTAAAACTCAAAGCTTACGTTATGCTCGTAAAATCTAAGACTTGGGCTCTGAGCCTGGTCTTATGTTCATGTTGCCCATTTTATGTTAATTTGCTGCTTTGTTCTCTTTCTCATCTTCAATAATTTCAGAAGAGAGAAATATTGCACGGTGTTTCCAAACCCATCTTTAAAGGTGAGGTGGAACAGAAAGACAGTGAAGGGACAGTGTATGGGGGGGCAGAGGGGATAGGGCCAGTGGAGGAACAAGGGCAGTACGGTTGTGCTTCTCTTTGGGGCTCTACACCAACAAAGCTGGGGTTCAGTATGGTAACACTGGTTCAATGCTAGTTATTCTCACGTAAGGCCATTAGAATTGGGGGGCTGGTAGACTGTGTGTGTCGGGGGGGGGTATGAGAAGGAGATGAATTTTCTCTGTGTCTTGTGACAATCACTGATGTATAACCACAGTTAGCTAGGATGGACACAAACACAGCTTTAGGACACACACATGAAACCTAACACCGGCTTTTCACACAACATAAGAAACAGTAAATGTTTACACTCAACATCACAGGCTCGTCCTCCTGCTCCCAATACAAACAGGAAAGAGGTGCCAACCTTCAGTGTACTCCTTGGTGCCATCCAGAGGATCGACCCAGACCACAAGCTAAAAGATACCAGGAAATAGCCACATTAAGTCTCCAAAACATACATATGTAAAAAAAAAAAAAAAAGATTTAAATAGACTAACCAAAACAACTCCCTTTTTATTTCAGTTCTGAAATTATATTACAGATGGCTTACGCCAGTGTCATCAGTTTTGTGATGGTAAAAAGAAACGTATTGTTTTGCAGTCATGGAACAAGTCCCGTTCAGTTGGAGAAAAGTCTGACCTAAGAATTTTAAAAATGAAGTGCTTCCCGGGTTGACTGTCAGCGGCAACTGGACACAATGCCGGGTACACACTGAGCGCTAGATCAGTGGTTCTCAACCTTCCTAATGCCGCGACCCTTTAATACACTTCCTCATGTTGTGGTGACCCCCAATTTCATTGTTACAAATTGAACATCATTAAAGCATAGTGATGAATCACAAAAACAATATGTAATTATATATGTGTTTTCCGATGGTCTTAGGCGACCCCTGTGAAAGGGTCGTTTGACCCCCAAAGGGGTCGCGACACACAGGTTGAGAACTGCTGCTCTAGATGGTGAGGCGGGGAAACGCCAGAGTGGTGCCAAAGTGCGCTGATTTTAAAAAATGACAACTCTCATCGATGTTTCTGACTCTCTGTCTCTCTCACTTCCTCTCTGTGAAAAATCAATAAAATATATTTATAAAAAATAAAAATAAAAAATAAAAAATGACAACGTGACTGACGTAAGGTCACCATCTGTATATGACAAGGAAAAATCCAGTTTACAGAACTGACAGTAGACAGAAAAAGGAGTCCCTTCTACTTAGGACTGTTGACCTGATGCAGGCCAGGTGGCCATGAACCGCCAGAACTGGAACGCGATGGGACTTTGCCAGCGAGGGCTTCTTCTGATGAAAGACACGTCTCCTTTCCTGTGCATCCTTCAGACCCCAGAGCAAGGTGCCTTACTCACAGTGAGTATTCAATGAGTGTGTGTTAGACAAATTAAAAGTAGAAAATCAAAGAAGTGTGACAGTTATCTGAAGTCACGGATGTAACTTAAGCAACGACAAAACGCAGGCGAGACGAGTTTCACGGCCTTCCAAAAATGTAAGGTAGTGGTCTGTTTCATCTCCTTTCGGCCCCAGTTGCCAATGAAATGTTCTACTACCAAATCTGCTATGTAAAAAATTAGATTTTCTCCCTAAAAGTCGTTTTAAGAATAGTTTTAGAGTGAAGAAGAAACCAAAAGCACGAGAAACTGAATTCTAAATTAACAGGTCAGACAGTCCATGTGGTGCCTGATACCCCACGTTGGCTCTGAAAGTTTCCCAAGTCCTGGGTGCCCCTATTTTATAACTGCCAACTTCCCATCATCCTAGGCGAGTGTTTTCCCTTTAACTATGGCAGAAACAAACACAAAGAGACCACCAAGAACGAGGAACAGAGAGCTGAGCAATGATGTGGAACGTACATCTTCCTCTTTAATCGTGCTGTACTGTGACGGGCACGGCTTCCGGAGTATTTCTTCCCACTGCCCATCTTCAATCAGCTCCTGATCCACTTCCTCAGAAGGCAGGTCCTGCAGCAGAGAACACTGGTCACTGACGTGGCCGGGTGGCCACCGAGAGCTTCGGTGTCAGTGACGGAAGAAATGTCAGCATCCGTTTTCACTATTCTTACCACTGAGGCTCGGCGCTTTAAAGCAAACTGAGTAAAACTGCACACATGACCAGATAGAGCTCGTCAAAGCTGGCTACAGAGAGTCCCAAGTTCATTATGCTGATCAGTGAGAAGGAAAAGAATTTTTACGTACTATAAACTTTTCAAAATAAGTGGTTCTGACATCAGCTACTGCTCTCTCAATTACATGAGACATCCATTCTTTTACTTTCCCAGCGTTAGGGTGTTTGGCTAAGTATGTAAGTAAGCCTAATTAGAAAAACAGACGCTCCGCAGGTGTGGCTCAGTGGTTGGGCGCCAACCTATGAATCAGGAGGTTGTGTTCCATTACTGGTCATGGCACATGCCCAGGGATGGGGGCTTGGTCCCCAGTGTGGGGCGTGCAGGGGTTAGCCCAACATGATTCTCTCTCATCATTGATGTTTCTCTCTCTCTCTCCATCTCCCTTCCTCTCTAAAATCAATAAAATGTTTTGAAAAAACAGAAACAAAACCCATTTTATCCTAAACTTCTAGAATTCTGCCCATCTTTTAGTTCAGATGCTGAATATTATAACAGAAACCATATCTTTGATGGTCAAGAATTGAGACATCTGGCCTAGAAATGGACCAAAATATTTCAGAATCAAACATTTCCTTCAAGTCTTAAGGAATATAATTATTTTTGCGTTAAAATGGTAGATATAATGCTTGAGGTCATAATAGTGGTATATAAAGCACTAACGTGGCCACTGTACACCCATATGGTAAACAGGCATTTAAATACATACATTGCCCTGCCAACTCTCACCTCTTCCCCAATGATGGTTAGTTTGGGGAACTTCCGTGCCAGGGAGGAGCAGATGCTCATTTGAGCCAGTCGGTCGGCTTTGGTCTGCAGGTCCGTTGGACTGGTCTGCAACAGAGAGGCAAGCGTTAGCAGAGCTCATGTGCAAGGTCGTCCTCCGATGCCTAAGACATGAGCGTCTGTATCATTTAAATGACCCTGTCTATTGTTAGATTCATGGGACTTAACATCAAATGATCAACTGTTTTCTTGGCTTGATTTTTCTCAGGGGATTCAAAGTGGTAAAAGTTTGGAGAGGAGCTTTCAGATTATCAGAAGGTGTGCTTCCCAGTTCAGAAATTGCTTTCATGCCTGGCCAGTATGACTCTGTTGGTTGAGTGTCATTCGATGTATGAGGAGGTAGAAGTTGGATTCCTGGTCAGGGCATATGCCGGGATTGTGGGCTTGATCCCCGGTAGGGGGCGTGGGGAGCTCATCAATGTTTCACTCTATCGAGGTTTCTATCTCTCTCCCTCTCCCTTCCTCTCTCTAAAATCAATAAAAACATATTTTACAAAAAGGAAAGAAATTGCTTTCATAAGATCTCTAGATCACTATTTTTGCTTAAACAGGATAAGAGATAGAAAATTCATAACTTCAAGGCAGTCAAAGCTAAAAAGACACTGTATCTTTAGTTACTTGAAAGGAATTCTTTATATGGATTCTTCCAGAACTTTCACTCACTAATCCGAATCCTAGTAATTCAAGGGGTCCCCAGGGCACTTCCTCAGTGTAAAGAAAAAAATCCCTATTCCTGAAATATAAAAATGAACAACCATAATATTTAATATGCTGCTCATCTATGGCACCCACTCAATCCAGAATCATGCTAGTGAAAGACAGTGGAAAATCTCAGAACTGACAGCCACAACCTCCTTTGTTAGTTTCTTTTCAGAGAATTATGACTTGCTCTCATTTACACATGCCTGGTTAGATGAATTCACAGATGATATGAATTTACGTACACAGTAGAATTTTTACGATGCTTTGTAATGAGTTCGGCAATGATCATGAAAATCAACCCTTTTATGGAACACTGAGGTCTGCTGCTTATCTCGATGCCAAGTGCTACTCTGCTCCCATGTGGTGCCACCAGGCAGAGATCTCTGTTTCATTCCCTAAAGAGTGATGCCTCGCGCACAGTAGGTACTCTACAAGTATCTGCTGAATGAAACCTCTGAAGAGAATTGTTGAACTGGAAGACGACATATATCAATGAAGTTCAGAGACCACCAGAGAAAAACACACACTGGCAGTCATTTAACTCTATGAGAAAGCTATTCTTGCTCTTTTCTTCCCTAGCGCAAATATTCCCTGCTCTTCCTACTGGGTGAGGGTCAGACCTCACCATTCTGCAATCTCCAAAGGGGAGCCATTGATTATTCTAGCTATTAAAGTCTGTCCAGATTATTACATCCTTGAGCGAAACCTCAAGGAACAAAAACCAAGTCGGTACGAAATAAGATGAGATTTCCCGGTACCTTCTCCACGATTCCCAGGTCTCCTTCGGCGATAACACGTCTGACTATGGTTCCTGCCTTCTGAGCTATCGAATATGCTGAGGCCACCAACCGCATCAGCACCGTGTGGCCGGAAGCCATGGTCAGTCCTAAAGGGAAAGGGAGAGAAAGGTTTTGTTACTTTCAGAGCCAGCCACTGGCTTTTCTTTACTTGAATTCAATTCTGCACGTACATATTGCGTGCTTACTTGGGGCTGCCCCATTTAACCATAGAGATCATTAAGAGAGACTTGGAAAAACCCCATTTCAGTAATAGCTCTCAATAAACTCTAAGTCTTCTCTCTCTGCAGATGGGAAATGGGGCGGCAACAGGTCCCAGCCGATTGAGCATGCGAGAAAGCTTTATGCACGAGGTGTGTGACGTGCAAAGACTGTGGTGCGCGCTTCCCGAGCTGAAAATACATAACATCTTCCTTGAAGAGCTGATATTGTGGTGCGTTGGGAATAAAGTATTAAACCCTCAGGTCCATAGCGTAGACCTGGTGCCAAGACAGGTGTGAATAGCATAAGGGATGTGGATATACAGCAGTGATGGCGAACCCTTTGAGCTCGGTGTGTCAGCATTTTGAAAAACCCTCACTTAACTCTGGTGCCGTGTCACATATAGAAATTTTTTTTGACATTTGCAACCATAGTAAAACAAAGACTTATATTTTTGATATTTATTTTATATATTTAAATGCCATTTAACAAAGAAAAATCAACCAAAAAAATGAGTTCGCCGTCACTGATATACAGGGTGTCCCCCCAAAATGTATGCACACTTTGAATAATTATAAAGGCAGTAGTACTATTAAAATGCATTTCATTTTCAAAATGAAATAGAATCTACAGACATAGTGTGCATACATTTTTAGGGGGGGGGCTGTATACCCTGTATGTGTGGAGTAATTAAAAAGGGGAGGGATTGCATGTGATGACAATTAGTTTCTGAAAAATCAGCGAGTATTGCTTTAGAGATGAAGTGAAATTTCACCTGCTGATTATTTACCAGCATCCTCATCAGTAGCCACACAGAGAGAGTGGCAGCGTAACTAACTGGAGTGAAGACCAATTGTATAGAAAAGTAATGCGTGTCTGAGTCGTTTCTGGCCCCGGTAGAAAAATAGGGAGAAGACAGCCTTTAGGATCAAAGGCAGCAGCCCAGTCCGAGTGAGAAAGGCCCTTCATCCCCTTGTCGACCCATTCCAGGTGACGTGGCTCTTCTCAGCTGCTGCATTCCCACAGAGAGGTGGCAGCTAAAGGCTACCCATTGGGGGCACTCGGCAGCCAAGGAAATCAGTCCCTCAGTCACTAAAATTGCAGGATTTGAATCTGTATCTTCAAAGAGGAACATATTTGATCCTAAACCGGTCAGGGCCTTTCAGCCACTTTTAAAAATATATATATTAAAAAAAGAAACATCACCCTGGAATCGAACCCGGGACCCCCTAGTGTGTAGGCCGACGCTCTATCCACTGAGCCAAACCGGCTAGGGCATCATTGATGTTTCTCTCTCTCTCCCTTCCTCTTTGAAATCAATAAAGATATATTTAAAAATATATATATTAAAAAAAGAAACATCACCCTGGAATCGAACCCGGGACCCCCTAGTGTGTAGGCCGACGCTCTATCCACTGAGCCAAACCAGCCCTAGTGCCTTTTAGCCTCTTTACATCTTTTTTCCTATCATCCACGTTCTATTCACAGGGATTATGAACATCGATGAGACAGCAAACAAGGGAAGTGTCTGAAACCCTTCAGAAGAAAAGAACTGAAATTGAAATGCAAACTAAAAGGTAATGAATACCATACTGTGACCAACAGCTGTCTGGAATTAAGATGAAAATAAAAAGTGGGTGTCAGTGTCTTTCAAATCTGTTTACCTTATTACATCACAATCAGGCAATAATTCATTTCCTTGGCATACGCGGTGTTACACGTGGAAAAATGGGTTATGATAATTACTATCTCAGCAACACCTCAAGTAGAAAACAGGAGAAATAATTGAACAAAACACTTGCCTTACCTCTACTCCCTCATATCCTCCACCAGCCAGATATCTGCTTTATTCTGTACTGAATATTCAGGCAACTAACCTGTACTATGCAGATGTCTTCACCATGAGGCTATTTTATTATTTTTTAAATATATTTTTTTATTGATTTCAGAGAGGAAGGAAGAGGGAGAGAGAGAGAGATAGAAACATCAATGATGAGAGAGAATCATTGATTGGCTGCTTCCTTCACGCCCCCCACTGGGGGGCATCGAGCCCGGGCATGTGCCCTTGGCCGGAATCGAACCTGGGACCCTTCAGTCCACAGGCCGACGCTCTACCCACTGAGCCAAACCGGCCGGGGCCATGAGGCTATTTTAATGTGTTGCACACTCAGTCCCCGCCTTACGTAAGATGGCCTGTGGAAGGCGGACTGGTTTCCCGCACTGTACGGCGTTGTTCTTGCTGTTCTCAGGTAGCATTTACCTTTGAGCCGGCTGAGCAGTCATTACAGCCTTGCCAGGCTTCATACATGACTAAACCACTCCCCTTTCTTTTTGCCAAGTCCACGGTCACTTCTTCCAAAGAAAAACTTGTAGGCTCTGTCTTTCTCCTACGTTCTTCAGAAAATGTATATTTACGAACCCCCATGTAGAAAAGAACATCAGCTTTATGCGAATGTGGAAAATCAGGTTTGGTGCGAAGCGCACATTGACTGACAAAGAGATCCTGTAAATCTCTTTTCAGTCGGCACACAGGAAAACATGTCTACCATGTCCTCTGAAGAATTTCTTTGGTCCAAGCTGAATCAGCAATGAAATGTTCCTGTCCCCTAGCCCCAATATTGTTCTCACATACTTTTTTAAACAAATGAATACAATGTTGGCTCTTTGTATAAAGAAAATGCAGCTAATTCTATTATCATAATGCAACATCTGTAACAGAGGTTCCCATAAGCCGTTTTAATTGTGACCCTTCCCAGACCCCAAATGAGAATTACCTGTAGCCGGTACCGGTGGGTACAGAACAGGCCAAAAAAGCTACCTGCAAGTTAACTAACTTCCTTATAGCAGTTCAGATTAAACTCACACTGCTTCCTTCTCTACCATCTGTACTCCACTGGGTCCTAAAACACGCCCGTTCGCTTACCTGGCTCAAAGGTGAGTGATACCTGTGAACAATTAGAACAACACTGTACAGCAACGGTTCTCAACCTGTGGGTCGCGACCCCTTTGGCGGTCAAATGACCCTTTCACAGGGGTCGCCTAAGACCATCCTGCCTATCAGATATTTACATGACGATTCATCACAGTAGCAACATTACAGTTATGAAGTAGCAACGAAAATAATTTTATGGTTGGGGTCACCACATCAGGAACTGTATTTTAAGGGCCAGAAGGTTGAGAACCACTGCGTGAACAATTAGAACACCGTACAGTAAGGGGATCTGATCTGTCTTGTGTGAGTTTACTGAAAACCAGCATAGTGGTTACAGGCCCAGGCATTGGAGACAATTGCCTGTGTCCAGATCAGGGCCCTGGCACATACACGCTGTGTGACCTTAGGAAAGCCACTTAAACTCTCTGGGCCTCAATCTGTAAAATGGAGCTAACAACGGTACCGAAGGCATGGAGTTGTAATTATTACACGAGAAGCACATGGAAAGCATGTAAGGCAGTCCCCGGCACAAGGGAAGCACGGAGTTACACAGGCTAAAACATTCCTGTAGCTTTTGCAACGTTATTTTAACCCCGAAGATATTCTGTTGATAATCATACATACTCTAAGCCTCAAGCCCAGAGTGTGATTTAAAAGAGGCTGTACTATGATTCAGGGTACATAGTGCAGCTTCTTTTAAATCACATTCTGGACTTGAGGATTAGAGTAGGTATGAAAAAAAAGGTTATATGACCACTGAAAACAGTCAACCTAATATCCCATTTTTTAAAAAATATATTTTATTGATTGTTTACAGAGAGGAAGGGAGAGAGATAGATAGTTAGAAACATCGATGAGAGAGAAACATCGATCAGCTGCCTCCTGCACATCTCCCACTGGGGATGTGCCCGCAACCCAGGTACATGCCCTTGACCGGAATCGAACCCGGGACCCCTCGGTCCGCAGGCCGACGCTCTATCCACTGAGCCAAACCGGTTTCGGCACCATTTTTTAAGGAATCTTTACAGCCGCCAGCGTGGCTAGTTCAGGAATCCAAAGATTCATTCTCTCTCTCTCACTCTCTCTCCATAGCCTGGGAGAGTATCTTGAATTCTGTATAAAGGTGGCGAGCATATGAGGGATTAATGAGTGTGCGATCAAAATACTGACATTATTTATCTTTGGAACCCAACCAAATGGTGCTAAAGTTCAAGGTCATCTGGAAATATAAAAAATGTGAGCACAACGGAGCATACTCTCCTTACCAGTTACCAAAATAGGCTATAATATTAGAGTAACTAAAACAAGTTAGTCCTGGGCAGAATTAGACAAATTAAGGCCATCAAATAAACTCCAGAGCTAGAACCAAACTCAATAAAGCTGATATTTCAAATCACGGGGGAAAGTTAATTAGGCATAAATGGCGGGGCAATTGGTAATTTTTTAAAAAAAAAACGTTGGATCCTTTTTGCATTCTTTATATCGATACAAATTCCAGATTAGTGCATGATTTTAAAAGCAAAGCATGAAACTCTAAAAGTATGGGAGTAAAATGAGTGAAGTGTTTTATAAGTTTGGTTAAAGGGTTTATAAACATGACGAAAATGCAGAATCCATAAAAGAATGTACTGATAAATTTGACTGCACATACAATTTTGACTGTATAGTCACAACACCACAAGCAATGCAAAAAGATGATTGACCAAAAAAAAACCAAAAACCAGAAAAAAATTTGTATCACATGCTAGATACATGAGCTCATTTTTGTTACATAAAAAGGGCTTTTAGCCCTAGCCAGTTTGGCTCAACGGATAGAGCGTCGGCCTGCGGACTGAAGGGTCCCGGGTTCGATTCCAGCCAAGGGCACAAGCCTGGGTTTCGGGCTTGATCCCCAGTAGGGGGCATGCAGAAGGCAGCCGAATAAAGATTCTCTCTCATCATTGATATTTCTCTCTCTCCCTCTTCCTTCCTCTCTGAAATCAATAAAGAAATATATTTAACAAAAAAAGGGGGCTTTTATGCACCCATAGGTAAAAGATGAATAATCCAATAGTAAAAGGAGCAAAGGACGTGAACAAGCAATTCCTAGAAAAAAGAAAAGCAATGGCTGGTAACTACCTGAAATGCCCAACTTCACTATTTATGATAGAAATGCAAACAAAAACCGTGAGAAATGGCTTTTGGCTTGTGAGATTCTAGATCAGAGAGTTTGCTCAAATGTGGCTGGAGTGTGAGGACACCTCGTCCTGAGCACTGTTACAAGGATGCAAAGTGGTGAAACCTCTGGGAAAGGTTATAAAAACCGCATTAAAAAAGCCAAACGGCCCTAACCGGTTTGGTTCAGCGGATAGAGCATCAGCCTGCGGACTCAAGGGTCCCAGGTTCGATCCCGGTCAAGGGCATGTACCTTGGTTGCGGGCACATCCCCAGTAGAAGGTGTGCAGGAGGCAGCTGATCGATGATTCTCTCTCATCGATGTTTCTAACTCTCTATTCCTCTCCCTTCCTCTCTGTAAAAAAACAAAAAACAAAACAAAAAAGCCAAACGTACAGGTTTCGAACTAGCAATTCTGTCTAATTTCAGGAAAACAAGTAAATCAAGCAAATCTACAGGTGTGTAGGGAGGACACACTGTAGGAAGAATCCCTGCTCTTTTAATGAGATTTAATTGCAGATGTAAGACAGTCTCTCAATGGGGGCGCCCTAAGCCCACAGTCCAGGTTTGCCTTGTTATTTTTCACAAAACAGAGCCCATAAAGACCCCGGAGAATGAAGATAAAATCTCATCTCCACACCTGCAATGGTGACACTCACGAACCTAGGTCCGACACAGGACCATCCGGACGCGCAGAGTCACGCCAACCTTTTTGCACAGAAATCCCTCGAATCTCCGCGTATCTGTGCAGAGGGGTGGAGTTAGGCCACCTTGCCCTTGCCCTGGCCCGCAGGGGAGAAACTTACTTACGCGGACAGGCCTGGGACAGAGTTGGTCGAAAGACACTCCAGGGATAACCCCCCAAAAGGCGTTATGAAGCAACAGGTCCCTCGCGGCGTCCGGCACAGCTGTCTCCCAGTCAACAGGACGTCAGGGGACGTGGGGCTACCCTACCCCCGCTACTGCGCATGCGGCAAACTCGGCGCAGGCGCAGAGCAGCTGCGTCGCCGAGGCCCCGTCCGACTCCCGGCCCGGAGAAACTCCACTGCTCCGTGTTTTCCTTAAGCTCTCGGTTGGCGCTAAGTTGCCCGCGGCCCAAGTGAAAGGTGTGTGTCTACTTTTCTAAGGATTCTTGCTGCTTTCAGCGAGTCTCCCAGCCCACTCTGTGCACACAGTCCACTCTTTTTTTAAAAATATACTTTATTGATTTTTCGCAGAGAGGAAGGAAGAGGGATAGAGAATTAGAAACATCAATGAGAGAGAAACTTAGATCAGCTGCACACCCCGCACTGGGGATGTGCCCGCAACCAAGGTACATGCCCTTGACCGGGATCGAACCTGGGACCTTGCAGTCAGCAGGCCGAGGCTCTATCCACAGAGCCACACCAGTTAGGGCCACTGTCCACTCAATATGTTCCCTGGGTTAGTGATCTCGCCCTAGAAGGAGTTAACCACGACACCTCCACCTCCTCTCCCAACAACAAAACAACTTTATGCAGAATTTAGTTTGCATTTGCCTGCTGATCACTCCCAGGAGATGGTCTCTTCCTGGATATTAATGATTTTTTTTTTTGCTTGATGCACTGCCAAAAGTTAAAACCAGCAAAAACAAAAATTGTCTCTCTCCCTCCCACCCCACATAGGCATTCACCGTATGTTTAAGGAGCACACTTTATGCTGCTTGAGCAAAGCGACTAGCCAACCATTCTTTTTTTCAATATTAAAAAGCAGGACACTGTGCTTAGACCAATAATGAAAAGCAAGATGGCAGAGTAAATAGCAAACGTATGAGTTATAAATGCAAGTTGCTTAGCCTCCTCCTCAATTCTGCGATTGATTGGCAAGCCGAGACCCCTGCAGTTATACCTCATGTTATTGCACGTTGCTTTATTGCGCTTCACGGGTGTTGCGTTGTTTCTTTTTAATAAATTGAAGGCAAGTTCGAACTGCAAATTTGGATTCCTTATTTGCATAAATTGGACCCGTCCCAGACCTGGGCGGGGACTGTCGCTATAAAATTGGGCCGCCCCCGCCCCATCCCTTGCCTCAAGGGAAGCTCACTTTTAGTTTCCTCCTGAGGCTGTGTTCTCAGGTTGGCAAACAGTTCATCTGAATAAAATCTCTCCTTTTACTGCATCCGGGACTGGGGATGCCTGTTGGCCTTGGATTGGTGGCAGCAAGTTTTGTTGACATGATAAAGGTACTATTTTATTTTTAAACATTAAAATTTTTTTTAAGATTTTATTGATTTCAGAGAGGAAGGGAGAGGTAGAGGGAGATAGAAACATCAATGTATTTTTTATGCCATTATTATTTTTTAAGGGCAGGGCGCTGTGATTGAAATCAAAGCCCCAGCTGCGGCCACATCTGGCCCAGCCCCGCCCCCTCGGAGCCAGC